TGCTGATGAAGGCGGCGTGAATGACTAAAAAGTGCTGCGACAAAAAGGCATTTACTCACTCAGGTGGAATTTCCAACTGGGTTTTTGAACAGCAGAGCAACTTTGATGTTACTGACACTAAGGAAGGCTCCAGATTTTCTGGGAGAAGCTCACAGAAGCACAGGAGCACATGAGCAGCCAACTATGTTGGGTCAGAACCAACGGCCTATCCAGCCCAGTGTGCTTTCTCCAGCTGTGGCCATAAGCCGATGCACAGGAAAAGTAAGAACAAGGCTGCCAGCTATGACACTTCCAACAGCCTTGGGCTGAGGGTACCATGACCCCATTGCTATTCCTGCCTATATCTCTCCTGCCAGTATTTGCCCAGTCTCCCCTTGAGCCCCTGTAGACTTTTCACAACCACAGAAGGAGCTTCACGTTCAGTGTAGGGGTCCAGTGTGTTACTGCAAGCACTGAATGGCATGTAGGAGGAGGAAAACATGAGTGGTACGAAGCCAGGCCAGAGTTTTAAGATTGTTAATTAGGGCTTTGGAATAGACAGTCTGGATCAACCGACTCTAGGCACCTATTCTGACAGATGTGGGTTTGTCCCACACTGACACTAAACAAACAATTAAAAAGCTCAAAAAATGAAGTTCTGACCACAAGGTTAGTATTCCGGGTTATTACATTTGGAAATGATTGCAGGTCCAGACAAATTCATTCGCTTTTTATGTCCACAGTTACTTGAACGGAGCATAATGAATTAAAATATTTAGAAATTAGGCCCTGTGCTTTCTCACCTAGCTGCGAAACCCACTATAGAAAAGTGAAGGGCCAGGTACAGCTGCAGGGGACTGCAGGGGGCTGTGGGCTCTCGCCACGTGCTCATGTGAACACCTGAGGTGGGACACGCCAGGTGAAGCTAACTGAAAGCCAGGGGTACGAGGTTGCTCCTTAAGACAAATCGGGCCTTACTAGTTGAAACAAAAAACCAAAACACTGCAGCCATTTTTCCTCTGCTCCTATCAAGTCTGTACGATGGAGCCTAGTGCAATGTAGTATGTGAATGGTGCAACCATCAGCAGAGCCAGCCTGCTACACCAACGTGCCATGGGGTACTGCAGCGCACAGCTGTGAATGTTATCACAGGTTATCACAGGTTATTGCAGGTTATCACAGTGCCCTGTGCCCAAGGAACTCCTGCAATCCACCTCTCGCTTTCCCAGCACACTGGGCCTTAATTAGCGTGTGCCCTATGGATTGCCCATACAACTATATGTCCGCTGTTTCAGTCGTTCCAGCATCTCTCATGCCCAAACGTGCAAGCATCCCACCGCAACTGTTTCATGGTTACTCCCCTTCTATCTTCTTGCCACTGACAACATTGGTGACCTCAAGGAGTAAGTGAATGCCACGCAACCAGGTCATTGATCCTTCTTATTATTCCAAAAGAGTGAGAAACCGTAAGGTGCAAAGGCTGTGTAAGAGTTTTTAGAATTTTTGCTTCTTAATGGTGTATTTGAATGTAAAAAAACATTGAAATTATCTACCAATCCACTCCTTTTTGACGTGCTTTATGATTGGCAGATTAAAAAAAGTTACACATCAGTAATAACTGTTTTTGAAGCAAAGAGTGAAAAAAATTCCTGTATCTACTAGCTTGTAACAGAAACACCGTTCCCCGCTCAGGCCGAAGTCTTCAATTGCAAGATGTTTCCTTGGAAAGCCCACCTCCTGCGTGTGCAACCACATTTCTGGGTTTATTATTATTATTTCTGCTTTTGAAGCCA